TGGAGAAGGTCTACAGCGATATACTTTACAATCGCGAACCCGGTCAAGGAGCATACAACTACACCATCACGTTCATCGACGCCGCCACTCGTTATGTCTGGCATCTCAACCTTCCAAGCCGCGACATGGCCTTCGAAGCCTTCGTTGCCTGGCTCCCAGTAGCAGAACGGGAATCGGGAGTTAAGCTAAAGAGCTTCCAGTCTGACGGGGGAGGAGAATACACCTCACAGAGGTTCAAGCAGTACTTGGCAGAGAGAGGAATCAAGCGGCTCATCTCTCTTCCCTACGCCCACCAACAGCAAGGCGTAGCAGAAAGGATGAACAGGACTCTCCAGAACACCATGCGCAAGCTTCTACGTGGCATGCGGCTACCCAACCATCAATGGCCCGAAGCAATGGACCACGCTGTCATGCTGCACAACTTGCTCTCATCATCATCGCTCCCGAACAACGCATCACCGCACCTGCTGTGGACAAGAAAACAGGGCAGCACAAAATTGTTGCGAAATTTCGGCTGCATGGTACAGTACCGACCTCCAGCTGCACGCGCCGGCCGATTTTCCCAACGCGCACAGTGGGGACTACACCTGGGCATTGAAAAGAATTACAACGCGTGGAAGATTTTCGACGTCCACTCAAAGGAAACAGTAGCAGCACGTGATGTCATTTTCTACGAGCGACTCACACTTCCGACGTACCTTGCCAACCCGGAAGAAGACCGGGACCCCACAGGTGGTTTTCATGGTGACCGAGCCTTCGCCTCGGCAGCAGACGAAGCTGACTGGGACGAGCAGAACGTGGATGAAGCCTCGGAGGAAGCCGGACCTCTCCCTTACTGCTCCGTCGACGTCCCAATGGATGACGAAAATCCTCGCGAAAGTGTCAACGCCGAAGTATATTACCACTTCGCCGACAACGGTTACGTTACACCTGCAAGAGTCAACACCAACGAAGCAGAACGCATAGGGCCCAATTTCATACCTGACCCAGAAGCGGGAGACGAAGCAGCTTATCCCGAGGACACGACACTTCCCCGCTACACACAGAGTGGCCTCCAGATACTCGGCCTCGTCACCGCGGTCCACGGCACGGCGATTCCTAAGGAGCCTGCCACAGTTCAGCAGGCTCTGGGGGGGGAGCATAGGGAAAAATGGCGCGAAGCCATGGACAAGGAGCTGAAAGCGCTGGAAGAACGGAACACCTGGAAAGTCGTTCCCATCGGCGTGGCACGCAACAAAACGGTACTCACCGGAAAATGGGTTTTCCGTGTAAAAACAAAGGCAGACGGCACCATCGACAAGTTTAAGGCGCGCTGGGTCGTGTGCGGTTTCGACCAAGAGCACGGACGCGACTTCACCGAAACATTCGCTCTGGTCAGCCGACATACCTCATTGCGAATTCTCCTCGCAGTAGCCGCCATGAAGAAGAAGAACCTGCGGCAAATCGACGTTGCCAATGCATTTCTCTACGCACCTGTTGACGCCGAAATCTTCGTCGAACTACCACACGGCTCCAACGGAGAGCCCAACCAAGTCTGTCAGCTGCTAAAGTCTCTGTACGGCATTAAGCAGGCTCCGAGACTGTGGCAGCAGTATCTACACGCTCGACTCATCCGCATCGGATTCCTCCAACTACCGCACGACCAAGGCATGTACCGGTTCACAAAGGGCACCGACTACATCTTGCTTATCGTCTACGTGGACGATCTGTCAGAAGAGTAGCGAGAATTAGGAGCCATAGCTAGGGTTTACCTAGCTAGGCAAGAGAGAAATGAGCAAAGGAGGGTTTGAACTAGAAAGGAGGGGGATACAAATAGCAAGCCCACAAGGGTTATACTCACTAGTGAGTACCCCACTACAGACTAGACAAGCATTATATTATGACACACCCCCATAGTCAAAGTGGGGTATAATCAGCAGAGCAAGCAGTCATAGAGCAGGTTCACAATTGCAAGCAAAGCTAGAGGCATTCACAAAGGACAAGTGAGGAGGAGGAGGCGGGACTGTAAGAGGAGAGGAGATAGGAGGCGACGGCTGAAGCTGCAGTCACACGGGCAACAGGAGCGGCTGGCACAGTGGCTACCGGGACAGCGCCCCGGACTACTGGAGTAACTGGCTCGGCGGCTACGAAGAGCGGCAGGAGCAACGGACTCACGGGCGACAGGCGCAGCAGGCTCTCTGGGCTACCAGGACAGTGCCCCGGACTACAGGTGCTGCGGACGACAAGACGGCAGCCTCCGCTCAACCTCCCCCAACTGTCCCACCCCTCTTTCACACACCCCTTGCTGCACCCCTAGCTCCACTCCCACGGCACCCCCCTTAAACCCTAAACCCTCGGCTCCCACACACCCACCCCCCTCAGCGGCAGCTGCAGCAGTGGGAGACGGAGGAGGAGGAGGAGCTGCAGGTTACCCACACCGTTCACCCCCATGCCCGCCACCCCAAACCCTAACGCAGGCAGGAGCGCGGGAAGCAGCAGGGGCGGTTCACGGAGGGAAAGGGAGGCGGCGGGGGGGTCTCCTGGGCGCCACGAAGGAGCAGGGCGCGGGCCCCCCGAGGGCGCCACGGCGGGTGACGGGAGGGGGGCCGCGCACGGGCCCCCGAAGACGGCTCGACGGGCGACGCGCGGGCCCCCAAGGTGCCGCGACGAGGCGACGGTAGGGGGGGACGCGCGGGCCCCCAAGGCGCCGCGACGAGGCGACGGGAGGGGCTGGCGCGCGGGCCCCCTGGGCGCCGCGACGAGGCGACGGGAGGAGGGCGACGCGCGGGCCCCCAGGGCGCCGCGACGGGCGACGGGGGGCAGCGCGCAGGTCCCCGGGGGCGCCACGATGGGCAGAAAACCGCCGCGCGAAGCAGGAAACCGCCGCGCGCCTCGGGGCGCACGGCGGGCAGAAAACCGCCGCGCGGCACGAGCGCGCGGCGGGATGAAAAAGTGTCGCGCGCCCGGGGCGCGCGACCAGCAGAACAGTAGCAGCGGAAGCAGTAGGCGGGCCCACAGGCCAGGAGCGTAAATGCTCTGAAACCATGTTAGAAGAGTAGCGAGAATTAGGAGCCATAGCTAGGGTTTACCTAGCTAGGCAAGAGAGAAATGAGCAAAGGAGGGTTTGAACTAGAAAGGAGGGGGATACAAATAGCAAGCCCACAAGGGTTATACTCACTAGTGAGTACCCCACTACAGACTAGACAAGCATTATATTCTGACACGATCTTCTCTACATTGGCTCGACTGACGGCATTACGACCTAGTTCGAAGGGGTACTGCAGCAGGACCTCACGCTCACGGTTTCATCTACCGTAACGCAATACCTCGGGCTCAATATTCAGGAGGAAGAAAACGCAATCTACCTCAGCGCCGCGAAATACGCCGACACCATCACGCTTCGGACTCACCCCGACCGCCATCTCCACACCATACCGCTACACCGTCGGAAATCACAAGGAAGGCTCCGCTCTACTCAAACCCGCTGGCATACGCGACTACCAACGAAAACTAGGATGTCTGCTCTTCGCAGCCGTCACCTGCCGACCGGATCTCTCGTACTCCGCAAGCCAACTCGCTACCTACCTCAAGAAACCTGAAGCAGAGCACATGGCGGAGCTCGACCGCGCACTACACTACCTCGTCAGCACCCCGACGATCGGCCTAACCTACCACAAAACCGGAACTACAACGCCTAAGCTAATCGGTTACGTCGACGCAGATCACGCCGGCGACTCTGACAACAGGCGCTCGCGCACCGGCTACATCTACCGACTTGAGACTATCGGGCCCATCTCTTGGCAGTCGAGCAAGCAGGAACTAATTGCTCTCTCCTCAGCTGAAGCAGAATATATTGCACTCTGCTCAGCCACCAAGGAAGGACTTTACCTTCGCGAACTGCTGGAAGAGGCGAAGCTGGCCCAGTTACCCAGCTTCTCCCTGTTCTGCAACAACCAGTCTGCAATCCGCATAGCCAACAAGAATGGATTTGCGAACAGAACGAAGCATATCGCTCTGCGATGTTTCTTCGTGAAGGACGAGATCGAGAAGGGGAGACTCGAGCTGTCCTACTGCCCCACATCTGAGATGGCAGCCGATTACTTGACCAAGAAGCTCGGAAAGCAAAAGTTCGAGTACTGCATGCTGCTGACTGGACAGAGCCACGTCACTAGCAGCGACACTCCAGAAGCGAAGGGGAGTGTTGGAAACAAGTAATTTGAACGTGTCAGAGGTCCACTGGTGATCCCCGATTGATCCTAGGGAAGGGTTACAGGCTCGTTGTCCTGGGGGGTTATGGGCGCACTGACCCGCTACTTAACAAGCCCTTTTATCCCAGTGGTCTAGTGGTTGGGATTCTGACATGGTATCAGAGCGAAAGTCTCGGGTTCGAATCCCAGTGTGTGCACTTCGGGCATCCCAGTGCGGGGGGGTGTCAGAGGTCCACTGGTGATCCCCGATTGATCCTAGGGAAGGGTTACAGGCTCGTTGTCCTGGGGGGTTATGGGCGCACTGACCCGCTACTTAACAAGCCCTTTTATCCCAGTGGTCTAGTGGTTGGGATTCTGACAGAACGCTTCTGTTGTGTGTCGAAACACTAAGTCGTAAACGAGGCGAAGCACAACGAAGCATCGGCGAGTCAACACTTGGAGGTTGAGAGGTGAAGAAACCGCTGGAGGTTACGCGAAAGTCAAAGGTCAGCGACCTTTGACCTGACAAGTACAGCGCGACAGCAAGGACAAACAACTGACTCGCTATTGAGCAGTTGCCCGAGTCGTCACTGTACCAAACCGCAACAGCAAACAGTAAAGCAGTTATTAGTTGCATCTTTTCATATTCCTTGTACTCTTATAAAACCTTGTATCCCCTTGTTTTAATTAATATACTTTGCCCTCACATACTAGCGCAAGGTGGTTCAAAGACTTATCATTATACGCTTCCGCTAATACATTGTTCCTACCCAGAGTTTAGTCCTGCAAAGATCCTAAGGGTTTTTTCTCAGCCCAACAACGGGGACAAGCACAATGGTGTCAACGTGGCGTGTGAGTACACTTACACACGCTGCGCCCTGGTGCTCCCTGCCGCGCGCCTTACCGCACCCCCCTGCACGCCCTGCCGCGCGCCCTGCCGCGTCCTACCACGCACCCTACCGCGCCCGGTCGCGCCGCTACCGCCCGCGCATGCCGCACCTGCACCTGCCGCCGCCCGTGCCTGCTGCGCCCTGTCGCGCCGCTGCCGCCAGCGCCTGCCGAACCCGACACCTGCCGCGCGGCTACTGCCCGCCTGCAACCGCATGCCGTACGCCTGTCGCCGTGCCTGCCGCCGCACTTGATGCGCGCTTGCCACACGCCCTACCACCGCGCCTGCCGGCGCACCTGCCGGCGCCCCTGCCGCACGCCTGCCGTCATGTGCCTGCCGTGCGCTTGCAACGCGCCCGCCGCCGCGTTTGCGGCACTTGCCACCGTGCCTGCCGGGCCCCTGCCGTTGCTACCGAGCCTGCCACAGTTGACCACCATCTCGCCTGCAGCCATTGTTTAGTGCTTAGGGTTTGGCTCTGGGCCTCGGACAGTCTCCTCCTCCGCCTGTGACTGTCATCCGCTTCACGTGCGCCCCTGCTCACTTCTGTTATGGCGCATGAGTTCGTCCTGCGGCTCGATGACGCGTGGCTGCTCGACGTCGAGCTACACCTGCGATGCCAGCGCCAGGACGGCGTCTCCCTGTACGCCCACGTGTCGCGTGAGCTACTTGCCCCCCATCGTCCTACGGCTCTTGCTGCCGAGGCCACGTGGGAGGAGCGGGAGGCTCACCGTGTGGCCCGGCTTGCGTACTCAAATAGGGAGTCGCATGACGCTGCTGCGCGCCTTGCTCTTAGTCGCCTCTTGCCGCCAGCCGAGCGAGTTCGCTTTCGCCAGGTCGAGACGGTGACGGAGTGTTTTTACGCTATTCTAGCTCGCAACTCCACCCCCTCCTCTGCTACTCTAGGGCGCCACTTCATGCCCTTCCTCTTCCTTGATCTCCCTGCTTTCTTCACTGTCGCTGGCCTCACGACCACATGCGCTCGCTTGACGCTAGTTTCCGCGCTGCTTGCAGTACTGACGACCTTGCTGAGCACGCCCCCCCCCCCCCCCATGTATCTCGCCCTGCACTTCCTCGCGACCCGAATCCCTGACCGCCTCCTTCCTGCCCGCGACGCCCTCCTTGCCATGCACCATCGCCTCCACCATTGGTGCGTAGTCCCCGCCATCTTTAAGGGGTGCGCTCCGCCCCGGCTCCCTACCCCAGCTGCCTCTGCTGCTGTTACTGAGCCCACCACTACAGCGAAGGTCGCAGCCGTCTCTATCCCCGCTAGTGGGCGGAAACGGGGCACGGGTGGTCGTGATCGTCGAGGAGGTGGAGGTGCTGGTACGTCGGGGGGTGCTGACGTTGGGAGTACTGGTTCTGGGGGTGCTGTCGCAGGAGGTAATGGGGGTGCGACAGTGACTCAGCACCAGCAGCTCAGAAGTGGGTCTCCCAGCGGCAGTGGGGACCTGCTGGCCGCTGTAGCGGGTCTGACAGCTGGCCGCGTGCCCCGCCCCACAGGGCCCTGCCAGTACCAGATTCAGTCTGGTCCACTGCGTGGCACCGTCTGCGGGCGCACTGGTCACTCCACTACGCACTGCTTCCGCCAACCCGGCGATCTCTTCCGGGCCTACCGGCGTCTCGGCATCAACGCCTCGGTCACCCATCGTGCGCAACGCTCAACAACTCTCTTGATGCCTGAGTCTTTGTGCCTGGTGCTATGCTTTGCCCCGACGGAACCGAACTAAGGATCACGACACAACCTCACGTCTGCAGTACCACCTGCCCAAAGGTGTGCTGCCTCATCGGCCCTTTCCGCTGCTTGAAGCTGGCACCAACCGCTGCACGAAGCTGTATAAGGTATACAGCGACTCCTCGTCGTTGGCTTGCACATTGCTACTTTCCCACCTGCAAGCATCGTGACCAAATCCTCTACCACGCGATGATAACGATGACGACGACGAAGCGCCGTTGGATCTGTTACGTGACACCCTATGAAGTCCCTCGCTCGCACCTGAGGACAACGATGACGACGTGCATGAGGTCACTAAGGCTGGCACAACGTGAGTATGTCCGGACTGCATCTACTTCAACTTCACACAGCGGCATCAACGGCACCACGAATCATCGAACCAAGAACACCACGCTAGCCACTTACTGGACCCCACAGCAAGGAATGGAGGGCAGCAATGGATGTTGAAATCAAGGCACTGGAGTCGCGCGACACCTGGGTACTCGTGGACCGTGCAACAGTGAAGGGGAAGAAATCCAAGGCAGATGGGACAGATGGAACAGTCGAGCAATCCAAGGCACGCAGGGTCGTACGAGGCTACGACCAACGGAATCGGCTTCGACCATTCATTCGCACATGTGTCAAACCTTAGTGCGAATTCTCCTTGCCATCCCAGCTGCCATGCACCTACATCTGAGACATATCGAATGAAAAATGCGTCCCTGTACGTGATGGTCGACGCGCTGATTTTCGTGGAACAGCCGCACACCTACAGAGATGGAGATTCACAAGTGTGCCAATTGAAGAAAACATCGTATGTGATCAATTAAGCCCTGCGACTGTGGCAGCAGCATCTCCACAAAATTCTCCTTGGCATCTGCTTTACGCAACTGCCTCACGATCCCGGGATGTACCGCCTTTACTTCTGCGGAGACGGCATCCTGCTCACAGTTTATGTGGATAATCCCCTACATACCAGGGCGAGCAACACTCTCCTCAATCAGTTTGAGAAGAACCCGGGAAGCCGTGTCGACATCATCACCAACCACACCGTGACTCAATTCCTAGGACTCAACGTCACTTACTCACCAGACGCCATTCACCTCTTAGCTTCGAAGCGCGCTAAGACACTCATAAAGCACTTCAAAATTCCTCGCCCACCACTCTCAACCCCGTACCACACACCTGAACCGGGCTACAAACCCAACAACAAAGCCCTCTCACGTGCAGACTCCAATTTTATCAGCAACAATTGGGTTGCATGCTTTTGGCCACTGTCACCTGCATATCCGACCTCTCCTACATCGCAAGTCAGCTTGCGAGAATTCTCGCACGCCTGAGGCAGAGACCATGTTGGATCTGTAGCGCGTGCTGCAATACTTCGTTTCAACCCCCAACATTGGGCTCTCCTACTCCACTCCCACAACTCGGTCCTTCAACCTCATTGGTTACGTGAACGCCAATCACGCCGCTGATCTAGACAATCGACGGTGATGAACCAGGATCCTCTTCTGACTCGAGCCCACGGGACCAATATCTTATGACCAAAATTGGTTGCCCTGTCATTTGCTGAAGTCGGATTCATCGCCGCCAACGCCGCTGTTCGCGGAGGGCTGTACCTGCAAGAGCTCCTGCTGAAAGCAAAAATTGCAACGTAGCCAACCTTCAGGCTTCATTGCGACAACCAGAGCTCGATCAAGATCGCGAGAAAACCAGGATTCGTCAACAGGACGAAGCACATCGCTACGATACTTATTCGTCAAAGATGGAATTGATAAAGGGAATGTTGACCTGAGATACTGCCCTACAGGTGAGAGGTAGCTGACTTTCTCATGAAGTGACTGCTACATCGACCATACCACCGTAGTGGGTACCACTCTAGTGAGTACCACTGTAGGGAGTACCACATTCTAGGGTTTGCTGTTTCTGTTTCTTAGATGGTTTCACGAGTAGGTACCCGAAGCTAACCTAGGTTAGCCCGTCGCCCCACCTAGCCTAGCTCGCCCCGCCCCATCCCTTAGCAGGCCGTGCCCAGTCCCGCCCCGCCGGTTAGCAGACCGTGCCCCGCCCGTTAGCGCCCTGCCCCGCGCGTTTCCCGTCCCCCCGCGCGTGCAGCCCGTCCCACAAGGGCGCAACCCGGTCCCGCCCCGTGCGCAGCCCCACGTGCAGCCCGCTTCGAGCGCAGACCAGCCCGCCCTGCGCACTGCCCGTCCCACCGCGCGCGCAGCCTTGTTCCGTCCAGCGCGCAGCCCCACGTACAGCCCACCCCGCGCGCAGACCAGCCCGCCCCTCCCGCCCGCGCGCAGCCTGTCCCGCCCCACGCACTAACCGCCCCGCGCGCTGCCCATCCTGCCCCGTGTGCAGCCCGTCCCGCCACACGCGCAGCCCCGTCCCGCCCCGCACGCAGCCCCACGCGCAGCCCGCCCCACGCGCAATCCAGCCCGCCCTGCGCGCAGCCCGTCCAGCCTGCACGCAACCCGTCCCGCCCCGCGTGCAGCCCGTCCCCAGCAACCGCGCACGCCGCCGCCCACTTGCACCTGCGCGTACAGCAGCAGCCGCGCGCGACCGGCTCCCCGCACAGCTGCACGCGTACCAGCAGCCGCGCACGCGCCTGCTGCCCTGCGCGCAACAGCAGCCGCTCGCACAACGCCAGCCGCACACGCACCTGCAGCCGCTCTCGCACGTGTTGCCCCACACGTACCCGCACTCGCACCCGTTGCCCCACACGTACCTGCTGCCATAGGCGTTCCCCGCGGCGGCTGGCAGCCGCTGTTGACCTTGCTACGGCAGATTAGTGTTAGGGCCTATTCGTGCCTGGAGTCTCTAGACTAGCCAATCCGGCTCTCCGCACCACTCGCTCCGACCGTTCCTAGGCTAGCCCTTCCGGCTTTATTTGTCTCGAGCTTCGTTCGTTCGTAGATCTTTGCTCCTAGTTCGGTCGGGCACCAGCCATGACGACCCCTCGCCCCTACGGTTCGATGCGAAGGGTAGGGCACTAGAGTTCCCCACCTAACTCCTCCACACCGAGCTGTACCTACAGAGTCAGTGCCAAGATGGCGACACGCTCTGGGCACACGTCTCTGGTGACCTGCGTTCGCCTCCTCGCCCTCGTGACCTGCCTTAGGAGCCTACTGACGTGGAACAGGAGCGCTTGGATAAAGACCGCACAACCATGTCGGTGTTGCAGTCTCATGATGCTGCGACTCGTATCGCCCTCGGCAGCCTTCTCCCCGAGTCTGAGGAGGCACACTCCAGCCAGGTTCGATCTGCCCAGGCCTGTTCCGCTGCGATTAAGGCTTGTTACTCCAGTCCCTCCTCCACCTCGCTCGGTCGCCTCTTCATGACGTTCCTGTTTCCCGACCTCGGAGCGTTTGCCTGCACTGCCGACCTTATCACCCACCTGCGCTCGCTCGACTCTAGCTTCTGTGCTGCTTGTACTGAGGCTGAGCTTGCGATCCTCCCCCGCCCATGCCAATCACTATTCACTTCATAGCCACTTGCCTCCCTGACCGCCTTGCACCTGTACGCAACTCGCTTCTTCGTAAGCACCCTACTAAGCTCACTATCAACGTCCTTGAGTCAGCACTCAAGGAAATCGAGAGCAACATCTGCTCCGTTGCCTCTGCTTCTGGCACCGTAGTTCCTCCGCTCTTTCAGGGGTGTACTGTTCCACAGCTCCCCACCTTCACTGCTTCTCTTGCCTGCTTCTCCTGGTTCTGACGAGACTGCAGCCATGTCCGTCGCCAGTGGGCGGGCCCGGGGCAAGGGAGGTAAGAAAGGGGGGAAGGGTGGTAGCGTCGGTGATGGCGGAGGGGGTGACGCAGGGGGTGGCGGAGGTGGGGGCGGTACTAGTGTGTCTAGTGGAGGCGGCACTGGAGGTGGCACTGGGCCTACGGGCCCGACTGAAGAGGGTGCTGGACCAGCTGGTTGGTACAAAACTACCTAACTAGCCATGTACTCTAAGGGGTACATTCCCATATTACAGCGAAATCCAACCGTGCGACTCCAGACGGTAATGAACAGCTCCCGGCAGAATCCTCGCCACTGCAGCTGCCCGATGCTGTCTGCTCTGACGGTCCAGATCCTTCGTAACCGTGCGCGACCCTTTGCGTCATTCCGCCCTTTCGCCTTCGTACTCTTTACTGTGTGCTTCATTTGCTGCTGTCAGGAGTGCACAGTCCATTCCACCATTTACTATTCGTAACACCCCCCTTCACTCCTGGCCGTAGCAAGTCTTGACCCGCTTGACTACTCCGCTGAGTTCGGAGCAGTGCTGGTACTGCTGACGTGGCAGTCGCTTCGTGAGGAAGTCAGCTGCCATGTCACCCGTCGGGCAGTAGGTCAAGTCGACCTTGCCCTTGTCAACTTCGTCCTTGACGAAGAAGTACCGCAGCGCGATGTGTTTGGTGCGGTTGACGAATCCCGGCTTGTTCGCGATTCTGATCGCTCTCTGGTTGTCGCAGTGCAGGCGAAAAGTTGGTGAGGTTGGTATTTTTGCCTCCTGCAGGAGTTCCTGTAGATAGAGCCCCTCGCGAACTGCTGCTGTCGCGGCGATGAATTCAGCTTCCGCCGATGACAAGGCAACCAGTTCCTGCTTCTGCGAATTCCAGGAGATGGTCCCTGTTGGCTCGAGGCGAAACAGGAACCCAGTTCTGGACCGTCGATTGTCGGGGTCAGCAGCATGATCGGCATCGACGTAGCCGATGAGGTTGAAGGACGGGGTCGTGACTGTGGAGTAGCAGAGCCCAATATTGAGCGTGGAGATGAAGAATTGCAGAGCGCGCTGAAGATCTAGGATTCTCAGCCGTTGGTTTGCGAGAGTACTAAGCCAGTTGGCTCGCGATGTAGGAGAGGTCTGGCCTGCATGTTACTGAGGCAAAGAGTAGGCACCCCAGCTGCTGTTGGTAAGTGTGAAGTCCTGCAGGGGACAGGGTTTTGTTGTCGGGTTTGTAGTTCGGTCCTGGTGTGCGGTAAGGAGTGAAGAGTGGTGCGGGGGAGATGTTGAACCTCTTCTCAAGTGTTTCAGCGTACTTGGCAGCTGAGAGATGAATGGCCTCTGGCGCGTAGGTGATGTTGAGCCCCAGGAACTGCTTCACGTCATGGTTGGTGGTGATGTCGACGCACATCGCTAGGTTCTTCTCGAACTGGTCGAGCAGAGTGCTGCTTGTTCCCGTGTATAGGAGGTCGTCGACGTACACGGTGAGCAGAATATACTCGCCACCGAAGTACAGGCGATACATGCCTGGGTCGTGCGGCAGCTGCGTGAATCCTATCTCCAGTAGGATTTTGTGCAGATGCTGCAGCCGGAGCCGTGGTGCTTGCTTTATCCCGTAAAGCGATTTCTTCAGCTGACAGACGCGTGGATCCCCTTCGCCATAGGTATGCGGCTGCTCCACGAAAATTACTGCATCCACCAACGCATAGAGGAATGCGTTCTTCACGTCGATCTGGCGGAGAGGTAGGTGTCTTGCGGCAGCGATGGCGAGCAGGATTCTGACGGAGGTGTGAAGGCTGACCGGCGCAAATGTCTGGTCGAAGTCAATGCCGTGCCTCTGGTCGTAACCGCGTACGACCCAGCGTGCCTTGAAGCGCTCGATCGTCCCAACTGATGCAGTCTTTACGCGGTATACCCACTTCCCCGAGAGCACTCTCCTGCCATTGATATCTGCACGGTCGACGAGCACCTAGGTGTCGCGCAATTCCAGCTCCTTAATTTCTGCATTCATGGCCTCGCGACACTCCTTGCTGTGTGGTCCCGTCAGGTCTTGGCGCAGGTTCTTCGGCTCGATGACGCGCGGAGCTGTAGAGGTAGCAGTGTGTAGGCCCAGCAGCTGCAGCCTAGAGATGGTGCTATCATGGCGATGCTGCAAGACGACTTCTTGTACGACGTCGTCATCGCTTTCAGGCTCCGGGGGCGGTGGCGGAGCGTCCCTGATGCTTCCTCCCGCAGGTCCTGGAGGCGAATTGTTGCTGTCGTCGTCATCGTCATCGTCATCTCTGCCGATGTCGGGAAACTTGCTCGCGTTGTCCTGCTCCAGGATGGCAGCAGCGGCTTCATCCTCTGGGGTGGCGTAGCTGTGCCCGTCGTTTGCGTAGACGCGGTTCGCGTTCGTCTGCTCGTCTTCGCGGAACCGAGCGAGGTTGAGTCGTTCGTAGAAGATGACGTCGCGCGCATTCGTGACTTTCTGGCTGAGCAGGTCCAGAATCATCCACGCATTGTATTCGTAGCTTATGCCGAGGTGAATCCCCCAGCGCACGCGGCTTGCGAACTTGCCCATGGATGAGGTCGGCGGGTGATATTGCACCATGCACCCCCACACGCGGAGCATAGAGGTGTCGCCCTTCTCGCCTGTCCACTTCATGCGCGGAGACAGTTTCCTGTGATAGCCGTCGTGGAGATGAGATTGTGCACCCGCACGGCGTGGTGCATCGCGTACGGCCAGTACGTCGGGGGAAGCTTCGACTGCTTCAGCAGCGCCCGCACCTTCGTCATGAGCGTGCGGTTGGTGCGCTCGGCGACACCCTGCTGCGGATGCGCCTAGGGGAGGGAAATGTGGTGAGAGATTCCTTTATGCACTAGGTAGTCATGCAGCTCCTTGCTGCGGAATTCTGTTGCGCCGCCGGTTTGCCAGATTTTCAGCTTCTTCCCGGATTGGTGTTGCGCGTGCGCCAGCCAAAGACAGGAGACCTCGTACGCCCTGATGCGGAACTGCACGTTTGTGATCCACACATAACGGGTTCCCGCGTCGACGAAGGTGAGCGTGTACCCCTCGTCGTTGAGCCCGCAGTGGCCGACAACGAGAAAATCGTTGTACACCTTGTGGAGCTTGGGGTAGCGGTTGGTTCCTGGTTCCAACAGCGGAAACGGCTGATGACTCAGCGCAGCTTCAGGGCAGACGGTGCAGTTACGCGGCTGTGATGTGAACCTGACTTCGGAGCGTCATGGCGCAGGAGTGCGCTAGGCGCAAACACGCCTGCCTCGATGCAGGTTTTCAGCGTCACGCGCGAGGGGTGGCCGAGGCGCTGGTGCCAAAGATCGTCGCTCGCGCGTAGTCTGGAGGTGCGCATGTAGCGCGCGTGCACTGCTTCAGAGTCCTCTTCAGGCATTGGGGCAGGTGCTGCTGGTGCTTCTTCTTCTGGCTCTTCTTCGTTCGCCGTTGTGAGGATTAGCGCCAGAAATTCCCTGTCGGGAATTACAGAGAGGGGGATGCTGGTCCCGGGGATTGTTCCGAGGACAAGGGTAGGCTCGCAAGGCTCGGGATCAGGTCCGTGGACTGTGTGACGTGGGGTCGAGGGCTCATTGCCTCAGTCGATGGTGTCCCAAGGATCGCGATGTGGTTGAACGTCAAGGGGAAGAGGTGCGGTTGCAGGGAGGCGCGGAGGGCGCCCGAGGGGAACAATAGGAGGCTCGGCTTCTTCCGTTCCCCCCCTTTAATCTCCTCGCCATGTGCTCCAACCTTCACCAGTAGTCCCCCATCCGCCGGTGTTGCCGCCGGTGGTGCCCCATCCTCCGCCAGCATCTGCCCAGGTGCCTCCCGTGTTGCCCCAAGTCCCGCCGCTGCTGGTTCCCCATCCGTCGTTGCTGCCCCACCCCCTTCATTGGAGGCGCTCTCCTCTTCTGCGCCCCATGCGCTGCAGGCGAAGGTTCCGCGCGCTTTGGCGATGCTCTTCTGGCGAAGCTCTTCCGCTTCGCGTAGCGCCAATTCCTCCTCTTCCGCGATTGTCAAGTTCTTCTTGGGGTCA